ATCATGTGATTTGTGTGACGCATATGTATTCGCTGCCCCTTTGTACTTATATCTACGTATTCAAATACACAGATAAAATAAATGTTGATTTCAATAATTCGACTATAGAATGGTTCTTTTGTTTTCCATTCAATAACTCTTCATTGTTCATTATCATTAGATTGATCTATTGTGTGGGTTAGAAACAATCATAATGAATGATTTTATTGTTTCTTTTATGATGTAAATCAGAAAATGGGCACAAATAGTGGATTCCATAATCTGGTTTTACACATCTACTTACTCCTGTTACCTCATCGTAGAGGAGGAATATAGGTCGTCTACCGTCACTCACCATTCAACTTTATCCTAGACAATCCTTTCCCAATTCTTTCCAGTTAACTTCATATAAATGGGGTAGTAGTAGTAGTAGTAGTCGTAGCTCTAATAGGAGTTTTTGTAGTAGTAGCGATCGTTGTTATCAAGGCAAATCATTCGTACAATTTACCTATCATCATTGCCTTTATTGACTTATTTATTAAATTCGATTAGCAATTTTATTGCAGCAAAAAGAAAACTAAGAGACAGAAGAAAAAGCAAGAAAGAAAAACTGGAAAGCATTCCCAAACCCCCCTAACCCCCCAAAAAATAAAAACCATAGAAACTAATTTGTTTTATTTTTCAAATTTTTCGATGGAATAATCCCGCCCATTTTTGATTTAAATAAAAAAAGAGACAGAATTCATTGGAATAGACTATAGTAATAATTGAATAATTGAATAATTGAATAGATGAATGAAATAGATTATCAGGTAAAGGAAAAAGGAAAAAAACCTAATTGTTTATTATTCATGGAATTCAATAAATAAATAAATAAATAAAACTTTTGTTTCTAAGCAAAAGATGGATGGATAGTGGCTAACAGTGGAATCCTGTTTCGACGCATGTTTCGTCCTATTTGGGACTCATCAGCTAGATGTACCTGCATTTCACGATTGATGTTCCCTCTGAAACTCGAACCCAGTGCCATTCGCTGTAAAAGTCATTGCATTGTTCATTTAGCTACTGATGCCTTGTTAGATCCCGATAAGCATAATGAATGGTACATTTTTGGATCCACTAAAAATGATGTCAAATATTCAATTGTCTGATGGGTAAAAGTAGTTTTAAATTCGATACATTTCTTTTTCTTCGTGCGAGTAGAGACAATGTTCATCACTTGTATTTCAATGTAGATAACTATTCAAGAGATTTTCTGTTTGCATTTATTGATTGATCAATGTTGCTATGTGGTATACATTATGTGTACTGCGTATTGAGTGTTTTGGTGTCACAGAAAATGGATTCATTTCAGGATGACTATATGAAGCTTTGAGGGATAATTCTTGAAGTTCTAGTCAGATCCGGTTTGAGCACCTAGGAAGTATCACAGTCCTCACACTAATCAAATGAAATTTGTGTGGCGCATATCTCTATTTGGTACCTCCATCCACCAATATCTATGTGTTCAAATAATAATAATAATGATTTATGTTAAAGTATCAATAAGTAGAATGAATCATAGAATTATGATTAAACTATTTGATTCATCTAAGGTTGAAGTTGATGATTGTTTTTCCTATTTTGTTTGATAAAATTAAAGTACAAAGATGTTGTACTTTAAGTTAAAATCAATCGAAAACTTTCAGATCGAAAGTAAAATCTATTTTAATAGTTCACATCATGAATTAATTGAAGCTGGATCAGCATAGAAAACCGAAGGTCCTAAGTTCGAGTCTCGGGTGTGGAATCGTGTGTGCGCATTGCTGAGAAGCTTTATACCAGAACGAAACGGTTCCTCAGTGATTCGCATCCACGATTCCGCACCCGAGACTCGGACCTAGAACCATGGTTTAACGTTCGAACACCTAATCTCTAAACCATATCTGTAGTGTCGTATATTGCAATACAGATATGTGATGTCTACATGTTTAGTTAACAATCAACTATCAATATAGTTAAATAATATTCAAAGTATGAGAATTCGCTTGAGATTGCAACATTTTCATAGTTCAATTAACCAATGAATCTATGCTAGATCATCATCTAAAACTTCGGAACACTGGATATTTGTTTCATTCTAGTGTAAATCTCCTCAGCAATATGCATCCACGATCCCGTACCTGAGATTCAGACTTAAGAACTAGAACACGTCTGTAGGGTCATAGAAACGCACTGCTGAAGAGTCCCATACAAAAACAAAATAGTCACCCAGGGCTTCCATATTTTCAATGATTGTGTGGCCTAGATCGATCCATAAATATTAGATTATCAATTTCATCATTGAATTGTTGGTGAGAAATTCCTGTATACCAATCATCTTACATATCAATGGCATAACTTTTATATTAAATTGAATAATAAACCGTCTATGTTGATTGTTAAGTTTCAACATTTCACTTCTACCGGAAGTTTGTTCTGCTGATGATGTCGTTCAGAAGAACGATGAAACCTCCACGACAAAACCATCCAGCTGAGAGAATAAAACTCCATCAAAAAACAAACTTCTCAAGACTATACAATTCATTCATTGAAATATTGAAGTATAAACGATTTGAACAATCCTTCAACAGTGAAAACACATGATGACAATTTGTGACATACTGTTATATCTCGACGAGAATAGTGGATGGTAACTATTGGGGTGCATTTATGAATCAAGATGATACATATATTTTGTATTGTATAATTGTTAGGTAGCTAAACTATTCATATTCATGTTTCTCCTATTATAAGCATTATTTTGACCCATAGATTAGTGGTATGCAATTTACCGTTCTTGAGTTATGCCCGGTCTATTAATTACAGTCTCACACATTCACAGCCACATTTGGCTAGATCGTGTACAAATGTTGTCTTCTATTTTATGGTGTGATGTGGTTTGTTTGGTTTGTATATAGACCCAGGATGTTTGAAATACATGATTCATATAGCAGAGGCTGTGATTGGTGTTCTGCATTCAAAAGGCAGGCAGCGCTAGGCAGGAAGCAGAACCAATAAGTACTCTAGACCGCTCGTACAAGTCATTTTTCCGGTCAATAAATCACCGTTCTCTAATTAACGGTATCGTTACGTCATATGTTAACAGGGTGAAAGGCTACCCTAAGTGACGCTTACATACCTCTCAACCCGGTTTATGTCCCATAAGTTCACTCTTCATCCACTTTCTTCCATAAATAACGCCGCCACAACGTGGATTCAGTTAGCAAGACTCCATTTGTAGAAGTTCAAAACCCACACAGGTTTTACGTGACTGTTCTCCAATCGGCGCAATCATCACATAATATATATTGATAATGGTTCAACTAACTTACTTACGCCTGTTACTCCTCGCGAAGGAGCATAAACCGCTAAACAGCTTTCTCCATCCAAACCTGTCCTGGGCAATCCTTACAGCTCTTTCCAATTCTCATTCATCTTTTTCATACCCTCTTCTATTTCCCAACGTAATGTGTTCTTTGGCCTTCCTCTTTTCCACTTCTCTTCAGGATTCCAAGTTAGCGCTTGCCTCGTAATGCAGTTCGATGATTTCCTCAATGTATGTCCTACCAATTTCCATCGTCTTTTCCTAATTACCCTCTTCAGCTAGAAGTTGATTTGTTTTCTCCCACAAAAACTATTGCTGGTGATATCCGGTCAATGCATGTTGAGTATTTTGAGTAGACATCTATTGATAAATACTTATACCTTCTTGATCGTGTTTGTTGTAGTTCTGCAAGTTTCAGCTCCGTACAGTAGAACTGACTGCCTTAACGTTCGTATTGAAGATTCTGACTTTGATACTGATTGAAAATTGTTTTGAATTCCATATGTTCTTCAATTGAAGGGATGCCGCCCTTGCTTTGCCAATCATCGCCTTTACGTCTGCATTTGAATCTTCTTGTTTGTCGACGATGCTTCCCAGTTATGTGAAGGATTGTAGAACTTCCAGAGTTTCGCCATCATTTGTGATTGGATTTCTGTTGTCCGTGTTGTATTTGAGGACCTTGATGTACCCCTTGTGTATGTTGAGGCCTACTGATGCAGAGACTGCTGCCACACTGGCTGTCTTTATCTGCATTTGCTCGTATCTATGCGATAGGAGGGCTAGGTCATCTGCAAGTCTAAATCGTCTTATTTGTTGTGAGATGTCCATTGTATGCCATGTTTCCTCTCAAATGTCAAAATCTTCATAATCCAGTCGACCACCAGAGGAAAGACGAAGGGAGAGAGTAGACAGCCTTGTCTGTCTCCGGTCCTTACTTGGAATGAGTCTGTCAGCTGTCCTCTATGCACGACCTTGCAATGTAGTCCGTCGTATGAGTTTCGGATAATGTTGACAATCTACTCAGGAACTCCATAGTGTCGAAGAAGTTTCCATAATCTCCTATCTACACTGTCAGATACCTTCTCATAATCAATGAAGTTGATGTACAAAGACGAGTTCCACTCAATGGATTGCTCGACCTGTTGTGAAACTCTTCAACAGTACACAACCACGATCCCTCACACAAGATTCCAACCCGTAACTTTCGGTGTCACTTACAAACACTTAACCTCTAGATCACTAAGCCGAACACACTAACCAACTTCATATTGTTTACTTAAATCTTCTCATTGATATTCAAGACTACTAAAAGAAGAGGGTTTTGTGAAGATCTTAGTAATTTCAGCTGTTGAGATCATGAGTCAATTGGACAACCGTTTCGTGCTCTTGTGGAACTCCTCCTTAGTAGTGCACATCCACGGTCTTATCTCACGAGATTCGAACGCAGGACCTATCAGTCTCGTGCACGAGCGCTTAACCATTAAACCACATATGGATTATTCATTTATAGATTGGCAATCATGTTCATTCTAATTATATAAGATACATTTGAATGTGAATATTGTTGCCATGGCACTTGTTTTACTTTATTGAATTGAAATACAGTTACATCATCCCCCTTTCTTTTCTTTTTTCTCTCTTTTTCTTTATTTTCATTATGAATATCATTGTGAAGAACGTGTTGCAATTAAAGTATTAGATAAAAGTAAAATGAATACATCAACTAGACGATTATTAAGTCAAGAAATATCGATTTTAGAAAGTTTACATCATCCAAATGTGATAAGACTTTATGAAGTAAGTATACCATTATTCGTATTATTATTATTATTATTATAATCAGTAGTAGTAGTAGTATTACAGTTTGTGAATGATGGTAGTATGGTGATTGGAGGTAGTCAACAGGAAACCCTGGATACGGGTTTCGTGCTATTTCATACTCGTCAGCAAGGTGTATCTATAATCTTAAGGGAACTGATGCTCCCTAATGGATTCGATCTCATGTCAGCTAGCTTCACAGGCAGAGACGTTCAAATTGGGCTATCCGGGTTGCCATCGACCTCCTTTAGGAATGATATGTATTCACTTTGTGGTGATCAATGCCATGTATGTGAAATCCTTGTTAGTGCAGATAGAATGGTATCGACCAAGTTGTAATGTGATCACTAGGTGAGTCTAGGTGACTCAACATGGCATTCGATTCGCACTAAGAAGGACTTGACACACATGATATTAATCACCATCGAGTGATCAATCAATTTTGAGTGAATGATGGTAAATGTAATGGATGACAAAGGAATAACCAATGGACCCAGTAACTGATCCAATCATTCGAATGAAGTTTTCTTCACTTCATTTGAAACACAATCAGATGAGTAAAAGAGATGATCTCTGACTACAAAGGATTACTATTCAGCATGTATAAATAAAATACTATATTTGCATTAGAAGAGGTGTGAAGGATTATTACTGAATGGTCTAACAAGTACATTCTCGATATTCCCTTCCCCTACATACCGGCAACAGAATAAATTGTCCGAAACTGGTGTCTTTCCATTAAACAAGAATGAAGTTCATTGGAGATCATTTTAGTTTTCTCGGAAAATACTCTGAATATAAGATGATGGCTGAAGGTAGTCGACAGGTAACTCTGAACCGAGGTTTCATGCTATTTGGCACTCATCAGTAAGGTTTACCCGTAATCTTGAGGGAACAATGAGATTGATCAATGACAGTCCTTAACAACAACGGGAAGATTTAAGTAAAACAACACCAAATGAATTTAAACTTGGCTCGATTTAATAAGCAAATGGCTATCAAGTCTCAATAATGTAGTGAATAATGCGATGATATTCGAACAGAACAGTATTAAGGTCGAGTCTTAAATTGAATATCAACACCGTGATGCAATGACATTCAACTGACGAGTCACAAATAGGACGAAACATTCATCAAACTCTATTCAATGATTAGCCATGATCCATCTTTATCTAAACTACAATACTTAACATCTTTCCATCGATAGTTTCTATACATTGTCTTCTAAAATAAAGTAAACTAATCAATGATTCAATGTATAATTGACATGTGCATGTCCAATGTAACATTGAACACATTTCACCTATATCAAACATACACTTGGTTCATTTAAACAAAGAAGAAGAAGAAAAAGAAAAGAAAGAACTAAAAAAGAAAGAAAACTGTTAACATTTTCTTTTCTTCTTTTCTTAGTTATTTCCTGTTAATGGTATGATTATTTGTATGTTTATTATGTAAAATGAGTTAAATTGTATTCCCATAGGGATAAGAATAGAAAGAATGATAATAGTAAGAGTAAGAGTAAGAGTAATAATGGGAATGGGAATGGTAACAGTAAGAATACTAATAATATTTTGTAATCAATGATAGATTGTGACTAGTAGTGGAATGCAGTTTGATGCGCGTTTCGTGCTATTCCGGACTGGTCAGCTGGATGTACCTGCATCTCAGAGTTGATGTTCACTCCGGCACTTCAACCCAGTACCATTTGCTTCAAACGCCATCCTGTTATCCTCTCACCTACTGAGTCCTGATCACCACTCGCTTTGTACAATGATGTGAATTTAAATTCACTTGATGTTGTTTCACTTGGATCTTGCTATTGTTATTTAGCTCTGCCATTGATCAGTGTGATGTTGGCATATGTACATCGTGCTGGGGATTGGCTCGATATGGCGTTAAGTGAAGCGCTTTTTAAGTAACAATAATAATAACAGTAATAATGGTAATAGTAACGGTAATAGTAACAATACTAATAATAGTAATCATACTAATAATGACCATACTAATGATGGTAGTGATAATAGTGACAGTAATGATAATAATAATAATAATATACTTTTCATAAAGTACTCATTCTACTGTAATGCCAACATAGAATGAATTCAATTCGTATGATACATTCATTCAAATGTATCTGCTTAGCTCCGTAAGTGCTGGTGGTGGCGTGAGTGATGAGGCCAATTCACTTACAGTGAAAGCCAGAGTGGCTTATGTTAATATGGGCCATCTTTTGCGCTTTCATGATGTCAGTCTGGCTGTAAAAGCTCTATGCTTGCAAAACCTGATCTTTCTGAGTTGATGACGTTAGACGACTCTCTGTGTTTGATCATCGTTGTCGCCGAAGGATTGCTGTCATCCAGTGGCAACATCGTGCTAGTAATGCAGAGGTTCGGCATCGTGTGTTCCAGCGCAAACACAATACAATTGTTGATTCGAATCCCGTAGTTGTAGAGGTAGTAACAGTATACACACTAATCGAAAATATTAGGGTTTGAAGATCGTATTCAAGGTGTATAATCCAGTGAAATAAATTTGGAGAGAGAAACGAAAGAGAGAATTCCGAAGATTAGAATTTTAGAAAACAGAAAGAGTGGATCGGCGATTATCATCTCGCGGATCCTGACCAGGTAGTCTACACCTACCAACATGTCTCATTTCATTTTATATTGTGATTATTTAATCATCTGCTTATGACCACAACAATATAAAACAGGCATTGGTGATTCCAAAGTTAACCTGAAGAGTTACTGTGCAGATTTAGCCAGTGGAGTTCAACTTGGTATGCTGTAAGATAGTAACTCACTGAGAACATCCGTGGATTTATCGCTCAATTTCGTGGATTCGTTGAAGTTAGACATTAACATTGTTGAATGTCGGCCGACTCAGTGGTCTAGAGGCTGCGTTTGCGCGTGAAACCGATAGGTCCTGTGTTCGAATCTCAAGAGACAGGATGGTGGATGTGCACTGCTGGTATATTAGAAGTTGGCACGACAACGACTACTAGTATTATATATATATATATATATATATATATATATATATATATACATACTCCTATTACTCCTCATAGAGGCGTATAGACCACTCGTCAGCATTTTCCATCAAACCCTGTCCTTAACAATCCTTCCCAGTTCCTCCTACTTGCTATTCATCCTTTTCTTACCCGCTTCCAATTCTCGTCGTAGTGTATTCCTTGATCTTCCGCTTTACTGTTTCCCTTCACAATTCCAAGGTACCACCTGCATCGCGATGTAGTTTGATCACTTCCAAAATGTGTGTCCTCTCCATTTCTAACGTCATTTCCTAATTTCTTCTTCAACTGAAAGTTGATTTGTTCTTAACCATAGTAAAAAGCAGCATACAATGACCAAAACAGTATTCATCTAACAATTATAAATTAACGAGAATTACATTAGGTTATAGATAAAGTAGACTTGAAAAATTTACATCATTTTGAAGGGATTAATGAAGAATAAATCTAGATATGTAATAAAACAAAAACTTAATTTCAATAGTTGAAATCATGAGTCGTTTGAAGCTAGAACATCATGGAAAATATGGAACCACTGGACGGTCGTTTCGTCTCAGTATGGAACTCCTCCTTGGCAGGACGCATCCACGATCCCGCCCCCAGCGAGATTCGAACCCACAGCCTAGCGGTCTCACGAGTGAGCGCTTAACCATCAGACAACTGAGCCGGTATCCAACGATGTTAATGTGTGACTTTAAACAATCCACGAAATCGCGCCATCGTCCACTCACTGATAGGTCCCGAGTTTGAATCACGCGAGGAACCGGATCGTGGATGAGTACTGCAAAGGAGGAGTCCCACACTAGAATGAAACGACTGCCCAGTTCTTCCATGTATTCCATGGTGGTCTAGCATCAATTGACTCATGATTTCAACTATTGAAATGACTACAATCTTCACAAAACCCCCTTCTGATAATAACTTCATTGTCAATTGAATGAAATAACATTGAACTAAGCCAAGATTGTATAACTAGATAATAACAATAGAAACACAGGATATAAGACAACTAATAATAATAATAAGGCAAGAACTCAATATGCATTATAGATTGTCTATGATATAAATAGATTGACAACAGACAATATGTACACCGTATGCCGATTGTTTTAGGTCATATGGTTTATAATTAAAAATAGATAGATAGTGGATAATAGTGAAATCTAGTTTGATGCATGTTTCGTCCTATTTGGAATTCGTCAGTTGGATGTATCTGTATCTTAGAGTTGATGTTCATTCTGGCACTTCAATTCAGTACTGTTTGCTTCGAATATCATCACATTGTGATAACTACTTGGTTGTGTTATGAGATGGAGACTAAGTATCTAAATTGATTGATTACATTTGAATTTCTATAAACTCGACATGGAAATATAAAGATATTTTGAATATTGATTAACAATTGGATACAGAAAGTACAATTTCTATTGTCAGAATCTCATCAACTGGATGTACCTGTATCCAAATATTGATTTTCATATTAAAACTACTACGTCATAATGCTCTCTTCAGACACAAGCGTAGAATCAGTTTACCGACCAATAGGTCCTGTGTTCGAATCCCGCGAAGCGAGGTCATGAATGCGCACTGCAAAGTAGAAGTCTGACAATAAGACGAAACGGCCGTCCAGTGTTTCCTGGTTTTCCATGATGATCCACCTTCAATCGATTCATGATCTTAACTATTAAAGTAACAGACAGATATTGATCAAATAAAACCCTAAATATCAGTAAAAGGGTAAAGAACATTATTCCTTATTTACAAGCTCTATGTCCATACATGAATAAGAATTCCAGCTTATGAGAAGCAAAAATTGAATAACTCTACTAACAAATCGTGTCTAACAGTAGTAGAGTGTCACCTATCTGAATTTATAAAATTGTTGACTGTTAGACTGAAACATATCCGTAAGTAAAAAATGAACTTCTTTGTTCTATCAATTGAC